AAGTAAGGGTTCCCCTCCTAAAAAGGGTATTAAATTAAATCCTTCCTTTGTTTTATATTTTTATTTATCTTTTTCCCATCATTTTGTAACTGATACTTTCCTTAAAAAGGAATTTAATTTACTTAAGGTAATTAATTTCTTTATTTCTTAGTAATTAGAACGGCCGGGATAATTAGAACTATTTAATTACTTCCGTTTTTGTAAATTAAATAATAGTCGACGATAATAGTAATACAATTATAATATTCGTAGTCGAAACGTTCCTTCTCGGGATAATTGTGTTTGGTATAATCCTTCTCCTTATAAAAGAAGTATTTACCCTCGTTAAATAATTGAATAGTTTCTTTATAATTACTATTTTAACGAACGGCGCCTCCGCTTCCTTTATTAGTAAATTTAGGAGTAAAACCAGAATTAGAGCTAGAGCCCACATTATTTCTACTAAAATTTTTATTCTTACCAGTCTTAGAGGTAATTTTATTCTTATCGGCGATAGTCTTTAATATTTATTCAAAACCGGAGCAATCTATATAGTAAAATTTAAAGAAAATAGTAGAATCGTAATACTTCGCGCCTATTTATTTCTTATATTCAATTAGAAGGCGTTAAAATAATTTACGCTTCTACTCGGTCTTAGGATGTTAATATTCGCTAACTATCTGAAGAAATTTATTTTTAAAGAAATTGAAATTATTATTGTTTTTTATTTTTAATTTAATAAAGTTCTAGAGCGTATTCTCTTCCTAATTAGAATTATAGTATTAATATTACAAATAAATTATTAAACCAAAGTAAATTTTAATTTAATCCGGATAAATTTTACGTAAGTACAGTATTAAATTATAATAAGTATAATTAATTAAGCGACTTTTAACGTATAGAAACTTGTTATAGTTAGTTAAATAATAATCGGCATTAATTTTGAATTTATTTTAAATTAAATCGTATTAGGCTTCGAAGGGAATATTATCTTCCTTATTTTAATCATAATATTTAGTAGGATTAGTTTATTTAATATTATAATAATAGGAGTTAGAACGTTTTCTATTATTAGAGTCAATTTCGGAGGGTAAAGTTCAAAAGCGGGTAAAAACCTTAAAAAGAACCTCGCTAGCATCCTTCTCGATATTAAAAAATACTATTTCTTTAACTTTTCCTTTATTCTTATTCTTAATTATTCTTTTACTAATACTTAAATTAGCGATAAAATCTTTTAATTCCTCAATAGTATCTTCCTTTTCTATAAGGGAATCCTTTAATTTTTAAATTATAATAGAAATAATAATATTATAATAATTAGCTAAAGCGGGGACCCAATTATAAATAATTTTAAATTTAACGTTTAAATAGGAAACGAAACAATACAATTCTAATATTAATTCTTTCTATACTATATTTATAATAAATAGTAATTTAAATTCTTAGAATATAGCCTAGAGGTCTCTATAGTATAATTCGGCGAACTTTTCCTCAGTTAAGTAGCCGGAAAATAAGAGGTTTAAAGAGGAGAATAAAATCTAAAAAGGAATATTAAGGACGGAATCGCAGATAAATAATTCAACGAATTCTTCTATTTTCTACTTTAAATCGTTAATAACTTCGTACCTAATTAAATAAATGTCGAAAGTCTTCGTATTTTCAACCGCCGTCGTAATATACTAATTAAATAATTTAAAAAATAGTTCAGGCTCTTTATCGTCTTCTCTTATATTAACGATTACCTCGGCTAATTCTTTATCGGGTTATTCAAATAAATAATATATATAATATAAGGATTTTTTACGAAAAATTGTAAATTTACCGCAAAAGTATTCTTTATTAGAGTAGAAGCCGTTATAATACTCCTTATTAAAATGTACGGCCTTATACGTATTATCCTTAATAATAAAATTAATAATTTAGTACTTAGAAGTAGGCTTCTTGTCGTTAATAACAACCTTCTTCTTAAGCTTCGATTTAATAACCGTATCCTCTTCTTATAAAGGGTCGGAATTAGAAAAACTAAAGCCTCCTTCTCCGTCGCTATTTTCACCCTCCTTTCTAAAGAAAGTATTATTATATTTATTATTAGAAATATCTTCGTTATAACGATCGTCGTTATAATTTTTGGTTTATTCGGTACTTTTACGGCTATTAATATTATTATATATTTAATGTAATCGTACTATTATATAATTATTATAAATATTCGGTCCTTTAAATTCTTATAACGGATCTTTCTAATTTCGTTTTAGGATTTAACCTTCCTAAGTAATTATTAGGTTAATTTAAAATAATATAAGGGTATAATATAGGTAAGTTGAAGGTAAAGTTAAGATTCTATTTATAATAGAAGATTTTAAATAGGGAAAAGAAAAGAGGAAGAGAATTAGGTATAAGCGTACAAACTTGAATAAATACCCTAATTATATAAACGATAACAGGACCTATATACGGGTTGCTATTAATTAATCCATTTATTCGTATCCCCTTTACCTACATAGTAAACCCTATACGTACTAGAATCTACCCTATAGTCAGTCTTAATATAGCCAATTGAAGGGCTCGCATCCCCTAGACTATACTATACCTAGAATCCTCTATATATCTTATTCCAACACCCTCGTAAACCACCTTCGTACATGGCACCCAGACCCAGTCCGCCAGCGCCGTCACAGTAAATTCCCTTCTTTCGAATAGGGTATTAACTTAAAAGGTCGCTTCAGTATTTAGAATTAATACCTTCTCCTGTAAGAAAAGATAGTTATGGAAGTTCTTAGATAGCGGGTAACCTTTATATATACTCTTAGTAACTATTATAATCTATTTCCAACTAGCCGCCGCAATCGCATTAGTTATTACCTTAAATAAGTAATCCCTAGCGATCTTCGTAAATATACAGAGGCGTTTATTATATAGGTTATCGGATGGTTATTTACGATACGAAGTATAATTATATTAATAAATAAAACGGTTAACTATACTATATATCGAATATTCTTTATTCTTAATCTTATACGTTTAGGACTATAGAATAACGATACTAAACTAATAACGACGATAAACAACGGTAAACTAACGGCGTACTTTATCGAAGGTATCAAGGGGAGATAATAACTTTAGCGGGTTAGGGATAATCTAAATATCGTAATTGAACGAAGCGCTTAATACAAAGGTTGCAATCGAATCCATTAATTTATAACAACAGCGCAGCATCTATACGAAGCCTATTAGCGATAGGCAATTAATTTGGAGCAATACAATATACCGTCAATTAAATACGATGTAAAAATATATATTACAATACAACTGGGTATAATTACGTAATATTAATCGACCGTTAAAGTAGATTGAGTTAAACAGATCGAGAAAGAAAAGGGCGCTCGAATAGCTATAGAATATTACATACATTAGAAATACGAAATTTTACAGCAAAAACAGGGGTTTCAAATGTAGGTATCATATATGGGCTACGGACTGGCGTGGGCTGTCAGGGTAAAGGTTTACTATAGGGGGTGGGTGCGTATAGTTTTGGGGGTGAGTGTAGGTAGGTTTTCTCTTTTACAACCGTACAGATTATCTCAACTCTCAAACTCCCATCCAGTACGTTCGCGGCGTTCGCCCCGAGAAAATACTCGCCGCTATCACTGAACACCACGCCCAAACATGCAGCAGCAGTCGTGTCAGACCAAACCGTAGGTTCCTGGCGTACAGCTGGTCAGCGCCGAAGAGACCACCACCGAAGAGGGAAATCAGGGCGGCGGTGTGACGAACCGTTACAAGCACAGGAGTATATCGCTGGGATAGGTAGAACAACGGTAGTAGTAGCCGAAAGGTACTGATTGATTGTAGAAGCTATTGCTTGCTGAAGAGCCGGTATTCAAGAGGCCTGGGGAGGCCGTCTTATATACTGGCCTTCATGGACCCGTCAATCCGGACCCGGGCCTTCGGGTCCTTCCTTCGGGTCCTACCTGATTGGTCCCGTTGGTTCTATCTGATCTAGCTTACATAAGGGATCCTTGATTGGATCGTAACAGGCGGTTCGTTCTTGCCTGTAGCATTTGGGAGTGGCGGGGAGGCGGTCGAAGTGCCCCCAGCGCTTGGACAGATTGGATGCGTGGATGTCATGGAGGTTGACAGAGTGGAAGGGGTAGGAGGATGTTGTTGTTGGGGGCGGGAAGGGGAACTTGGCGAGGATGAGGTCCATGTTGCTGCTGCTGTTGTTATTGCTGTCACTGGCTGCTGTGTTGTGGATGAGGACGACGAGGGCGATTGTGAAGATTGCGGAGAGGAGGTGGAAAAGGAGGATAAAAGGCCAGAGTGGCTTCCACCATCGTCGGGTTGCCGAGTGAAGAAGGTGCAGGCGCGCTGCGGCGTGGTTGATGACGAGAGGCGAGCCCTTATCCGTCATGATGTTTATGGTCAATTCTGGTTTGAGGCCGAGTGAGTGAGTGATTGGTGGTAAGATCAAGGAAAAAGGAGTCCAAGACCGGGCGCAGAAACAATAAAGTTAAATTATGCCGTGAGCTAGTATGCGAATTGGATGAAGTATGAAAAGCTGTGGAAAAAGAGGAAGAGAGAGAAAAGGAAATGAGACATGTGGGCAGTCGAGAATCGGACGACGAGGAACGCAACTTCCAAGAGATAGATGGGAGAGGTCCTCCCTGTGACTTAAACAAGGTGAGAAACGGAAGGGGCGGGATATGGGACGTGATATGCGCATGAATCACGGAACATGGCCATGTAAACGAAATGGGCATTTTGTCCCTTTATGCCTTGACGTTGAATTGGGATCCTGCGAGAAAGCCCAGCGGCTGCCAGAGCTTGTTGGGAACATATTGTTGTTGGCTCATCTTATTCTTGTTGGTTAATCGTTGTTCTGGGACCAACTGGCCGTGGGAATGCCTCCCATCCGCGCCTTTGTCATCAACCGGTCCGGGCCAAGACGGGAGTCGCAGTTGGCCCTTCCCGCCCACGCCGCCCAACAACTGTTTGCTTCCGTCTAGTAGCTCCCTTCCGCTACAACCAACAACACCCTGGGGTGTTGCATTTTTGATGGCCTGCCTGACCTACTACTGACTCCCTGAACCAACTGTCCAATTCTTCTCTGGAAAAGTCAACTTTACCATTTCCCACCAGGTTCCTTCTCCCCCCCGCGTACTTCCTTAATTCGCATCATCCCCAACCGGACACCCCGGCGTTCCATAAATCCCACCCGCAACCCAAAACGCCAAATCCATCGCCCACCACCCCGCCAGTGCGATCAATCCCCTTATAAGCCACGAAAGAAGCGTGACTCCGCACACCTGAAAAGCTTTCCCATTGCGCCAAAGCCCCAAGCATACGAGTCCGATGAAGATAATCACCTGGCTCTTCAACACAGCCAGTATCCAGTGATGCGCGTACCACTGGTCGGCTGCGCCGAAACCTGCGAATAGGGCGAGGAGGGTGGCTGTTCGCTCTTGCTCGAGGCACGGTTCGGAGAGGGAGGGTGTGCCGCGGGTGTGGAGGGGGGGATGGTGGGTGGACATGTTGGATGCTGCAAAACGACCTAGTCAGAGTTTGGTCTGTTAGCCATTATGTCCTTGAAACAGCGCTTAAAGTAATGGGTACCTAGGTGGGAGTGGAAGCAAGGCCTTCCTTACCTCTAAAAATTTCCTCTAATCGTGGGCGGTCGTGGACGATGAACACGAGGATGGTCGCAGCTAGCGTGTAGTACAGGATAAAAAAGAGTAACACAAACTCTCCCAACCGGGTGCGGAAGAAGCTTGGACGTTGTGATTGCTAGGGGATGGAAGGAGGGCTATCCATCGTCGGCCTGGGAACCTCAAGCGAGGCAAGATGCGGCAGTGAAGATGTATGACCGCCAAAGGCCGCGCTTTCTTCTGCAAATGGATGTGCAGTGTACTTTCTCAATTCTCAAGGATAGTGAAGATTGACGTGGAAACTTGGTTTTGTTCGTGGTGGGCAGCCGGAAGTGTTTTGGAGGAAGAGTTGCAAGGAAGGATCGAAGGTCAAGTGCAGATTTTGGAAAAAAAATTCATGAAGCAAGAATGCAATAAAGCTGTCACTGTCACCATATGATGAGAATGATGATTCAGTGGCACATCAGCCGGCCTGTGGCCCCGATGGATCATTGTTGACTCGTGTTTGCTTCCACCAAGTCATTTGCTGGAAGTAGTCTCAGTTTCGTCGGTGCTTCAACCTACTGACCAGAGAACCATGCGTCAGACCGCTCAGAAGATGGGTGTTTCATGCAAGAGAGGTCTTTGCTGGTGGATTAGAGAAGGCGATACATGTAGTATTCCAAAGCTTGATGGGTTCTCTTGCGTTTCACCCTCGCGCCCTAGAGCTATACGCGCGGACACTTGACGCCCCTTAATACCTGTAGTATTACTGCTACCAAGTTTTCGCTGGCTGCTGTCGTAACTGCGAAGAACGGCCGGATATTGGCGATAAAGGCATCTCTTCGGCCCGGGGCTTCGTCTTGCGCAGGGCATTAGCTATAATCCAAGGTGTTCGCCTTTGATGCTCTGGGACTGGCTCGAACCACTTTTTGGCGTGGTCAGTGAGATATTGGCTGGCGAATAGTTTGCCTGGAGAGGTGAGCAACACCGTCTGTTAGTCGGGTCCTGATGGGCATTGAGGAGGAATGCAGGGTCGTCCATGAGACAGCACATAACTCATTTCTGTTGGTTAGGGAGAGATACTTACGCACGACTATGGCAGAGAACTGCCCAAGCAGTGGCATCCAAGCGACCACAGCAACAACCTGACCAAACCCCCATTCGTCTTCAGCATACGAAGGCCCAGAAAGCTTCCTAACCTTGTTGCGAAGGTACATGAAAAACACCAGGAAGACCCAAGCAATGGCGAGACTGGAAAGAACCAGGAAACCGCCCAAGACCCCGGTAACAGCCAGGTACAGCGACAAAGCACCACGGCTCTCCTTGGTTATATCCAAGTCGGTCTTCTCGCTGACAAAGCTCAGACGGATACGCCGAATAACAAACAGCGAGGCGCCCCAGAAGATGATGAGAGCCAGAGTAGCGTAAGGCGTATACTTGACGAGGCCCTGGACGTAATGAGTCGATTGCCCGCCTTCGAGACATACCGACTCAAAGGTCGTCTTGTTCTTAGGAGATTTGGTTTCGCTGAAGAAGGTGATGCTGACGCCCGTGACTAGGAGGAGGAGCGCAACGAGGCCGGAGAATGTGAGGACCGGGTATTTGGTACGTCCCGGGAACCATGGCCAGAGACATAAGAGGACAGCGACGGAGTGGACGGCTCCGAGGTAGCCGAAGTATCCGGAGTAGATGTGGCCTTCGGATCTGTAAACGACGTTGAACGTGAGGGCTGCTATGACGAGCGTGAAGGCAAAGACGTAGCAGGTTGACCAGAAGAGCTCAAGGCAGTCGTCGAAAGCTCTGCGGAGGTCTGAGATCTTCATCGACTGTGTCGGTTCTTGAGAGGTGTTGTTCTTGGTAGGATGCTCGCGAGGGGGTTGCTCCGGACTGAGGTGTTCGTAGTCTCCTTTTTCCAAGTGCTGTCGGAAGTATATGGTGTCTGAAATTTGGAAGCCAATGTATATGAGTAGAAATACGGTTGCAAACACAGCCTGGATAATGAATGCTGCATCGACCTGTCATCATGTGTTAGGAGTATCTCGACTTGAACTAACAAGACAGGTATGAACGGTTGAACTCACTCCGATACCCGATACATCAGGGTTGCCCTTCCACGTCAAGGCCTTGCAGAACTCAGGAAAACATTCGTTACGAGTCTGATCAATGAGCGAAATAAGACTATCATCGTCGCCGGTGGTAAAGAACCAGTCGACAACTTGGCCCCCGCTGTAATTTTCAATCGCAGATGCCATTTCGGGCGGTGCACAGCTTCTCACGAACTTATCAAGCGCAAAGAGGGGAACATCCGAAGTCGGTGAGTCGTCTATGTCGTCCTCACTCTCATAACTCGTTTGGTTTAGCTCATCGAGCAAGTGCGTGGCACCTTGGAGATAACCAAAGAAAGCTGTGGCTGATTTCCCGCATCCATTGGTGCAAGGCCTGTGAATCATGCCAGTAAGGTCTCGAAGAGTCAGTTGATCTAGAGTCTTGCCAGGGCTGGCGCTTGGATCCAAATCTGTGTCGTCTGCCATGGTCGGTCTAGGGCTGGGAGCTTGACGAAGGCCAAGGTGATGAGATACCAGGGCAGAGGCGTCAGGACTCAGGACAGAGTTTGTTGAAGCTTGTGAGTGATATGCATGCTGGAGGAATGTAAGTCTTATACGAGTCATCACGACACCACTGCCCGAGAGCCTTGTGCAAACTCCGAGTTTGTGTGGGTGGCATTCCCCGAGTTCGTGACACCCGGCAATTTGCTGACACTAGAGGTCACACCAGGTTACACCACAATGGTTCTGTGCCCCAGATCTTCGCGCGGTAATCTCAGTGGTGGCCATGAACGACGGCATTTCCCATGCTCACCATGTCTCGGGAAGCAGTGGCGCAGTGGTTTCCTCGATAGATAAGTGTAAGAGAAGTCGTAATGGGCTATCATTTCTGTAGATATCACAAGCTTGCAAGCATTTTGGGGTAATGGTGTGAGACGACGTTGACATTGTAAGGGTCAGACATGTAAGGGCGCGTATGAAATGGGGATAAGAAGCATGGGAAGCATAGATACAGGGAGGAAAACCTAAGAAAAGGAAGAAAAGAGACAAGATATATAGAGCATGGAATGAGAGAGACATGGGAAAAAGGAAAAGAGAAAAAGCAGGAAAGGAAAATCGAACGAAGACTTAGGAAGAAAAGGAAAAGGAAAAAACAGGAAAAACAAAGCAATGTAAACGACCACAACGAACAACTGGTGGAAGAAGAAGACTATGCAAGTGAAGGACCTATCTCATGGTTAGCCATCAGTTGTTCACAAACCCAGGAACCCATTATACGAAGAACTTGCCCACATCCTTTCCCAGAACAGATGAACCTCCGCTTCAAGCTCCTTACGTGTGCACATAGGTCATCCCTTCAGAATCCAACCCCTTTGAGAGCCGTCAAACCAAACGTGCTCTCAAAGGGAGAAAGAAGCCGTAGACCTCCTCACTTTCATCACCTCCATCCACTCCCACCTTGACTCTAACTCACACTGTCATTACGGCTTCGATTCTCTTCGACAAGGTCCAACATTAACAACCGCCGCTTAATATCCTCAGGACATTTTTCGGCCTTTGATATCCCAAACTCCAACAAGGTGAAGAACTTCTCATCCGCATTTATGGTACCGCAGTAGCCGATCAGCTTCTCTATGATCGCAGACCGGAACTGGTTCAGAGCCGAGTCCTCTGTCCACGTGTCCTTATAGCAGATGTGTGCGCAAAATTGGACAAAGGGAGACTTGCTTGGCTCGTCGTTTAGGATGATCCAACCGAGACTATCGAGTTCCAAACTCGTGATAACGTCGCTGATGTGGCTGGATGCGTCCAGGCTTGGATGTTTGCTGAGAAAAGTGTCCAGAGTCGCCAAGTAGTCCCGTTGATATTGGTGGCGCAAAGGGCGCTGGAATGGGGACCAGATATAGGCAAAGAAGCAGGAGATGGACCACAAGGGGGGCTTTCCGAACATGGGGTGCTCTAGAAACTCTGCCACGTAATGCGTAGGAGTATGAATTTGAACACCAGTCATGCTGGGATTGAACACCGAAAATATAGACATGTTCTTGGTGCCGTAACATTTTTCGGAACATTCAAGCAAAGGCTTTGGTTCACGATCCCAGAACTCTGCATTGGGATCGGCCCCGTAGTTCAGATAAAGGCCGACCACCCGGAAATCAGGCTCAAAAGCAGTAAGAAACTGCCATGTCTCCATGTCACCAGTACACTGACATACGGGGACCCCATAAAGCCAAAAACATATCCGCATCAGAAAAACCCACGGTGATATCTTGAACTGGATCAGTATCCTTTCTAACTCCTGTTTGGGGTCCTGTCTGTGCATAGAGGTAATCATTTTTTCTTCGGCATAATGGAATCCGGCAGTTTGGTCGATGAATGGCTCGTTTGGATTTGCCCCAGTACGAAGAAGTCGCTCGACCATATTATGGCATGGTCTCAGAGAATATCGATTGAGGCGTAACCCCCGGAGGTTGCCCGAAAATATTAATACTGTAAATTGGAGGAGTAAAGGTCCAGGCAGACCATCCCGATAATCGGGAGTCTCCATTGCTTTAGCTTCAAAGTATTCACTAAGCAAAGAACGGCAAGCATACAACACAACCATCTCGCGGAAGTAAGTGGCAAGATTGAGGTAGGGTCGCTTGCCAGCATACCGTGCCATAAGCAGCATCTTGTTCTTGCGTGATGGTTCAGAGGCTATAGCTTGGAGGCTAAGATGATGAAGAGCCCTCTCATATTCGTCGAGTAGAGTGAATACGGCTTTGAAGTCCTCCCTTTCGATAACAGATAATGCATTCGCTGCGCACGCTAGCATGTGTGTGACTTCATCTCCCAGGTCCGAATGAAGCTCAATGAATGAAGAATCGGAGCGGTAGGATTCAACCGGATATCCCTTTCTTCTAATAAGGTGGCCTTTCATGATCCAAATATGGATATTGAAATTGTTGCTTAACTTGGAAGAAAGGAACTCCTGAATCTCTGTCGTCTGTATGAAGTCGTGCATTGTTCTGTGAAAATATTGTACAATGGGCGGCTGAGGACGGTTTTGCATGATCGGTGCTTCTAGAATCCCTTTTGTCCGCGAGTTGATGATGTCCTGCATTTGTGCATATCGCTTCGAGATACATGTGCGCAGTTCGGGAGATACGTGTTCATTATCGTTGTGAAGCCATTCATGAAACGTGTCGTGAGTTTTGGATGCCTTTGAGATTTGGACAAGGGAGCATTGCAATGCGTAGCCCGGCTCGTCAAGTTCCTTTTCCATATTGCAGTATATTCCTGCGTCTAGAGGTATTTCTGGATAATTGTAGTTTACCGAGTTCGGGTTGTAAACTGTTGCAGCTTGGAGGAAACATGCCATCTTGCTCTGGTAGACGGGGTTGACGCTCTCCAGCATTTGGCGAAAAAGTTTCTCGAGGTCGCCTGGCAAGTGCTCCAGCCGCCTAGTGAGATCGGTAACTGTGTCGTGATTTGACAAACCCTCCCGGAGGGACCTCGTAACGAGGTATGCCCAGAGGAAGACTCCATCCGCTTTCTTGGTCACCGCTTCGACCATGTCCATTCTTTCTGTTTCGGTCAAGCTGTTCGTTTTCCATTTGGGATGGCACTCTAGTTGTGCTGCAACGTATGTCTTGATATCGTTGTATGTCAGATCCTGGACGTACAGCTTGCGTGAGAGGTCTTTGCCCAGGCCATCCTCAAAGACTGGCCATGGGCGACTTGAAAGACACATCTTGATAGTGCCAGCCCGAACTAAACCCTTGAATATCTCACAAAGTTCGAGATGATCTCCTTCATACTCGTCGAGTCCGTCAATGAAGAAGCAGAACCTCAGGGATGAACTGGGTTGTAGGGTAGCCATAGCACGGAGAGCATTGGCCAATTCGGCTATTGTCCACGGCGTGGAAGCCGCTCCTGGGGCGCCCGCTCTTGCCCATCGTTCGGGACAAGCTTGCTGAATAGACAAAGGATAACTCCTGAATATGTCGAAAATCAGAGATCGGAGCAGGCCGTGCCAAGATTTCTGCATCAAGGTGCCTGAGCACCAGAAGTAGTGACTAGCCACTACCAGCTCGTTCCCCCCAGCCCATTGCTTTAGGAAGGTTTTGGTTTGTGTGTGATCTGCTAGGAATTTCATGAGGGTTGACTTCCCCGACCCGGGCTTCCCCGAAACCCAGAAAATACCGTCTCCCGACTGAAGCCATTTCGAGAGAGGAAAGTTTGAGTCAAGTGCCCACCCAAAGGTCTTCACATGAGCATCCTTGATGGTGTCGTGGCGAACTTCACGAGTCTCGTAGTTCAGACTGGCCAGGACAGACTCGAAACGCAGGAGTTCTAGAGTTCCAACCATGCTAGAGAGTTGGTCCATCAGCGCCTTGAGGTCGTGAATTGACGGTGACGATGGGTATTGCTCCTTGTCAGCTGCCGTCATGTCCTGGGGTCTCATTGCCATCGTGTTTCCATGGCCTTGAATGGTTACGACAGTGACGTGTGCATCCGATATCTCCTGTCTAGCAAGGGTATATAAGTCAGTTTTCGTAAATGCCGACTTTCCAAAAGCTTTCGGGGGACACACCTCAATTGTTGGAAAACATGCAGTTGCATTGCTTTTTGTGTTTTATCCAGCCTTTCTTCGATACTGCGCAGCTGTTCTTTGAAACCTGGGAGTTTGAAGGCAGCCTTGACACTCCCCAAGATCCGGCGTCTCCTCTTGCCTTCATTGCACCGGTGGGCATTCAAAAGGTCAATGATAGCCTGGCAGTCATGTCTGAATTGGACGAGAGTTTCTGGAAATAGAGGTCCTCTGGTGAATGGGCCCTGCCGTTGGCCTTGATGTCTAGGTTCGAGCTAGAGGCAAGCAAATCTTTGTAGTGCTGTTCTATCGCAGTATGCTCGGGCAAAATACCATCCTTGGAGTCGTAGATGGCTTTGGTGCCCGATATCAGCTTGGCGCCAAACTCTAGAAAGGCGATGGCGCTGCTGGCGACCCCGATGACCGAGGCAGGGTCCATTTTGGGAGGCGCAAAGCTTCTCGTCAAGCCCGGATTGCGACTGATGATGGGTACGACTTCAGCCCATATACTGGTGTTGCTTGGTTCCCTGGCGATATGCAGTTGAGAATGGGATGGGTCGTAGGAAGACGATGTTGGGCAGCATCCATTCAATTGAACCAGTCCTCCCGCATCCCCCCTCCTCCTCGTCACATCCTCGTTAGCCCAACGGGACAGTGCTGAATGATAGAAAACGTTGTGCGATTGGTTGCAATAGTGCACACCAAATTGAGCGAATCCGGTTGTATACAATAACAATCGGTAGTGGTCCAGTCTGGTGGCGGCGTTAGTGGTGATGACTGTGGAAAAAAGACGGAATATTGGTGGTTACAGAGAATGCAGATTCCGACACAACGGAATGGCTATTGGCCATATGATGGACAGTTACACCGCAATCCACGCCGAGACCTGCAAGCCACAGATACCTCTAGGTAGTATAGCTACTCGTCAGGTCTACAAAACCGATTGTTGACTAGTGAGGATAGACCAGACGAGTAGACGAACCTCCGAGGCACGAGCGCAAATCATGGCATTGTAAGGCGGTTGGTTGATCTGTCATAACACGAGGTGCTCACAGTTCACATGTACCGGTACCCCGCACGACCTAGTACCTGTGTGGTTGCTGAGTTGAGCTGAGACGTTTGTGTGCGTTCGAGGATATCATGACTGGAGAAACCGGCGTTATGTTGGAAAAGATCGGACCGCAGAACCCCGGACGGTTTCGAAAGCCGAAGGGAAGAATTTTGACGATATGGGGTGGTATGCAGGAGATACCTAAAAAGAGTTGTTCGGATGATACGAAGGCGGGCGGTTGAAGAGAAGAGATTACAGTGGACAGCTCCTCTTATACCGTATAATCTCGGGGCATAGCTTTTTTGTTGGAAGTCCGTGCCCTGGGCCGCCCATTCACCGGCCTTGCCCATTCACTGGGCCGTCCCATTTACCGGCACTCCCTTCCTGGGTATTTAGGCTGCCCTGGTTTCCGTTTCTCCTCTTCCGTTAGACAACTCCAGAATCAAGCCCTTTTCGTTGTCGCCTTTCCAGCCTCCAACATTTTTAGGTTCCCTGGAAATTAGGTATGGTCTGCAAGCATATTGTTCGAATATGTGCATTTTATACCCGAGAAAATAGTGGGGGAGATAGCTTGAGACCCCGGAACACTATAAATTCGGTGCCTTGTCTTTTCCCCCTGTTATTTCTTTCCCCCTTATAACCTTCCCTTGTAATTGAATCCTAATAATCTAGCTATAGTAAAGACGAAGTTAATCCTTGGCGATATCGATTTTGTTTATAAATAAATAAACCCTATAGTATTGAGGCTCTCTCTCTCTAATTCGCTTACCCTATTTATAAATATTATAAATAATTACCTAAATTCCTAGCAACTCGCTGAATATACTAATTACGTTGTCGTCCCGCGAATGCTCTTATTTTCTAACGTACTAGAAGGCCTTACTCTTATAGATATAGATAAACGAACCTACTTTGGTTAGATTTGTAATAGAAGCCATAAAAAGATTGAGCTCGAAGTTAGACTTAAGGGTATTGGTAATGTTTATTGTTATGTGACTAAATTGGGTAAATACTAGTGTAAATAGGATAACCGCTTTAATGTAGTTCGTTAGTAGTAGGAAGTGAAAGGGATTGCTTATATATATATCGATATATCGAGTATACTGGTGACGAGTTTATTAATTTTGACGACGGCGAAGTTAGTAATAATGAGGAGGATAACGAGCTTTAATTTATCTATTATTTAAATTGCTAGTTACTAGCGATATTGCTAGTTGCTAGTATTGGTTATTAATAATAATATAAATTGCTTACTAAATTATTAGTTGCTGGTAAATTAAATTGCTAGTTACTAGTGATAATCTAGATTATTAGTTGCTCCTATTGTTATTATTATTCTTATTATTAGAGTTGTTCATTATATTATTCTATTTATTTAATAAGGCTATTTTTATTCCTTAATATAAGTAATTTACATTGTTTGTACTAGTTTTTTTAATTTTGCCTTTTCAAATTGGTTATAATTAGACTTCGCCCTCTCTTCTATTTATAATTCGAAGGTAACGCTGTCGTTTTTAGTAACGGGAATGGTTTTAAAATTATTAATTCTAATAGTAATATTAATAGCGTCCTCCCAACAATGCTAATTAATAGTATTTCTATTAATCTCTTTAATATTAATTAAGTAATTTTAATTGCTGTTTAGAAGGATACATATATTGTTATTTTTAAAAAATATAATAATTATACCCTTTTTATTAGTTTGTAGCGGTTTCTAGTATTTCAAAATAATGTAAATAATTATAATCCTTTTATTGGAGACGGATTATTATTTACCCGGGTTTTCCTCCTTTTAGTTTTTTACGGCTAATTTTATTTCTTCTTTTAATATTTTTTTAAATAATAAGTTAATGGTTATATTGAGAGGTTGGAGAAGGTTAGTAAAGCTATTAAGAATTATAGTTAGTACTACTTTATAAGGTATTTCGTCTTTGAGTTTATTATGTATTCGCTGGGTATTATAAAATAGGTATATATTTATAATTAATAATAGCTCTTAGTTAAGTTCTCTTACGATAGAGGTAAGTTCGTTATTAAATTAATTAAGTAATAATTATTTGTTTTAATACGCTACTTTATTGAATTGAATTTCGATATTAGGAATATAGAACGGTTATTCTTCTTCTTGTACTTTACCCTCTTTATAAAAGATAATTATAGGTTTAAAACGAGTAATACTATTTATAACAATATATAGAATAAAGGTAGTTTACCGTTTACCTTATTTATTACGGTTAGTCTTGCCCGTAATAGATTTATTGCTTTTTATATAGTAGGTGTAATTATTAAAATATTCAAAAAGGAGGGGGATTTCGTCGAAATTTATAATAGTAGAAGGAAGAAATTTAATATTTGTATTAGGTAAAGTAGGTAAAATAGGTTAGTTATTACACTTAATAAACTTGTAGGTCAAATTAGTTAGCCTCCAATAATCTCTATATTAGGATTGTAGAAGAAGGTAAGTTAAGGTGCCTACGGATAGCGTAAATACATAGGGGACGTTAAGGTAAGGGGAAGACTAAAGATATATTAATAGTTAACCCCGACAATTCTGGAGGCGAGTTCGACCGGTTATTTATATCGTTGCAAATTCTATTTTATAGTAGTTAAATTTGCGACGGTTCCGAACTATTCCGACGCTATATTATAACGCTATACTATACGGATATTAACGCTGCTCAGTATTAGTACGGATTTAATATTTTAATAAATCCTTAGCGATTTAATATAACCCCCCCTCTCCTAAATTTCTATCCTAAAAACCTATAAATACTTTATATTCATAACCTCCTTACCGGCGCCCTTTTATTATTATTCCTCCGTAATCTACTTTCCTAATTAAATATATCATCGCCGAAATGCTACCTTCTCCGGCTCTTCTTATTCCTATACTGGTACTAGCCCGCTATTTAATACCCGTAGATTCTATTTCTCCGCCGGCTTCGATTACCTTCTACCTACCGTCTGTAATTTCTTTATTTTCTACCGGCCGCCGTTTTAGGTTTAAATTAATTACCTTCCGTCTTATTATATTTTATCCCCCTGTTATCGATTTAACACCTATTAATTATTTTTTCGTTCTAAATTATTCTTTCCGCTTTTCTTTTATTCTTTTTTACTACTTTCCCCTATTATTTTCCTTATATTCTATTGTCCCGAATTAACCCGTCTAAGAGTTTTTTAATAACGCCCGTATTTTCGTACTTCGATTATTTACCCCGATTCTACCCTATTTTATACTTTTAATGCTAATTATAAAAACCCCTCTTCATTCTTTTCTTTTCTTCTTCTTCTTCTTCTTCCTCCTTCCTTCGCGCAAATTTGTATACCTACTTATATTACTACTATAACCGCCTTCCTTAGCCCTACTAATTAATATACCCTTTATAATCTAACCCTCTTTATTAAATTTAATTACTCTTAGCCTTAGTAAGCGCTTTTCCCTTCCGCCCTATATTTTTTATATTAATTATTTAATAGCGTTATTTATAATCCGCTTTATATTATCTCTTTTTAGGAAATTATAAATATTATTATTAATTTGCCGCCCAATATTATTAGTACCGCTATAGTTTTAATTATAAATTACTTTATTTATATCTAATAAAATTCATTAAATTTTTATTCCTTTTTTATTAATATTAGTACTAATAAAACTATTTTTTTAAATAACAATACGTATTCGGCGTATTTCGAAATTTTAAACCAGCGCTTTTATAATTTCCCTCTAGTCTTCTATAATTGTATAATCATATTTTAAAAAAAATATAATCGCTATTTACGTAAGAAATATAAATAATATCGCGCTTACCCTTATCATTACTTTTTATAATTCTATTAATACTTTAGTAATTAGAATTTGTATCTTTTACGAACGCTTCTATATTTTTCTTTTAGTACCCTCCGAATTTTATAGCTGCTATTTTAATAAATAAATAGAATACTATAATTTCCGCCGTCTTACTAATAATCGCCATACTAATTAAATTACCCCTACTATTATTCGTACTGTCGATAACGAATAATTCAATATTATAGTTCCTACTTTCTTAATAGTTCTTACTACCCCTATAAATATAATTGGTCTAGCAGATATTTTCTAAATTATAAATTTAATATACGCTAATATTCGCCATTTAT